AAAGTAGTATATAGGTATGCCAACATTCTCTCCACTGTGCATGTTTAAAATGCAAACAACTTCACCTTACATACATCACTCTCTCAAACGTACATAATAACTGGTGAGCGCCACCATCAAGAGTATATAGATATCATTATTGTAAGATTTAATTTTGATTGTATGACTGAAATATTTAAGTCACAAGCATCAAAACAGTCCTTTGTAATAATTGTCCTGTATTTCCCCCCTCAGAACAGCATTTATTAGAGTCAGAGTCTTAAACCGGTACAGCCCCCCTCCTTATGATAAAAGTGAACTATTTTAAAAATGCGCATTGCATTTTGTCAACATAGCAACCAGTGTTATGCTGATAGACAGGAACATGAAACTATCCATATTTATTCCTGGGATGTCAACAATAAATTTTAAAGTTATAAAAGGGATATAACAGGTGAGGATCATAAAGGTCAAAGGTCAAAGGGTAAAATATTAACTAATTCTTTGATATGGAAGAAAGCAAATTTGCTTTGTTATCATTTATTTTTTAATTTCATTGCAAATAAATGAAATGAAACATTTTCACTATGTATTTCTTTTACTTAATGCAATATTTTTCAATTTAAGTTGACTTTATTCCTATATTCTAAGACTTCTAATTTCCCCATAATGAAGGTTACTACTCAACCAAACATGCCTCATAGTAAATTATGTATGCTAGAGCAAAAATAAGCATAATTAGTTTATTTTCATGAATAAAATCATTGTTAATGTACCATTTTACTCAGAACATCATACATAATAATATAAAAATAAGAAAAAATAATTGCATAAATGTTTATATTTGCTTTTAAGGTGGCGCTCTATAGATTCATATATTTAGCATAGGGTTAAAATTTTAAAGAAAAAGAGTTTCCCCGGGTTTCCTCACTAGTTATACTGGTTATTTAAAAGAGACTTTGTATATCTTAGGTATTGTGCAAAGAACCTTTAATTCCCTTTATTTTGATGTATGATTGATGGCTGTAATATGGGTTAGAGAGTACACAGCTTGGTCTTACTCCAGATGTGCACCTTTCAAAAAAGTGCTAGCTCTACTTGCTCATTTTCACTTCTCGAACTTCAGAGGTAAATTGTAAAAAAAAGAGCCGATAACTATTTTTACATTTTATGTATTTGGTAATTCAGTCATTGCACGTTTAGAAGCTGGTATTATCTAGTTTGGCAAAATTCATTTTCCATATTTTAATAGCTGCCAAGAATAGTGTACTTTAGACAAATTTAAGTTGATATTTGGAGCACAAGGGAGCAGTCGTTTTAGTTAGCAGTGTCCTAAGATCATTTAAAATTTCCAAAAGTACAATATCCAAAGAAATTTCATCCATATTACATGAAAGTAGTATATAGGTATGCCAACATTCTCTCCACTGTGCATGTTTAAAATGCAAACAACTTCACCTTACATACATCACTCTCTCAAAAGTACATAATAACTGGTGAGCGCCACCTTATCAGCAAGCCAGCAAGTTATACAAATGACAAGAAAAGACAGTTATCAAACAAATCATCAAATCTGTACTGCTTACAGTCTACCTTTGGAAATTACAAGTTGCTTTTGGGGATTAAAGCTTCACTATAAAATGTAAATATAATAAATGGTGAGTAGAATCCAGCTATGAATAAACATGTTTGTAGACAATGGTCATTGAAAAGTTTCATTGAGAATATTTACTGGTAGCAATGTCATTTTTTTTAAACTTACCACCACCCCAAACATATATTCTGTACTTTTTTGATACTAACATGATCATAAGTATTAACAGATTCCCTTATTATTTGACATTATCTTTATAATATCCATACTTAAATTTTAAAGTTGTCTGAATCCCGCAATTTTAGGAACTGGGTAATTCTGTGTACAATGGTTGACCTATGGGAATAAGTAAATTGTTTTGTTGCAGGATTCACCTTGACATGGCTTAAATGCATTGATGGAGTCAAAATAATTCATTGTTACAGGTTACAAATCCTAGAAGTCACTCTAAACAGTACCATCTCATTTAATTCACACAGTCAGAACAAAACCAAAGAGTCTTTCTCGTCAATACTACCTCATTACCAACATGTCATGAACACCATTCCAGCTACATTTGCAATTTTATTTTGATTGATGCCACTAAAACAATTGTGTATGCCTCAGTACTTTCAAAACTGGACTATTGCAACTAATTTTACAATTAGACTGGAATTCTTCTTTGGAAAGAGTCACATCTAGGTAAAATGAAACTATGTATAAGTAGGGATTTGAAAAACAATTAATTCATTATTCATAATTTAGGCCAATATATATAAATCAGTCCTATTATAGGTCAATATGATATTATTATTATTATTATTATTATTATTATTATTATTATTATTATTATTATTATTATTATTATTATTTTTATTATTATTATTTTTATTATTATTTTTATTATGATTTTATTTAAAGAGGGTAACTCAATTAGCTAAGAACTAATCTACCTTGAGGCCCTCATTCAAAGGAATTTATTTTTTTTTGCTGCATCTCTGAAGCCATTCTATATACTGGGTTTGGAAAGAAGAAATAGAGTGGGCATTTCTAATCTCAACTGGAATACTATTCCAGAGCAAAGTTCCAGAGTATTGGAAACTTGTTTTAAATAATTCCTTATTTGGTTTGGGAATTTTGTAATGTTTGGTAGACATTGATCGCAGGTGGTGAGTATTTCCAGGTAGCCTATACTTGAATGTAAATATTCAGGAGCACTATTATTGGCTGCTAAGTTTTTATCATTTGAATTACCCCTTACTATATTACAGTAGTCTAACGAGGGTTGTATGTAACTGTTATAAAATAGTTTTCTGTGCTTTTCCGGGAGAAAGTGTCTTATCCTACTGAGAAGCCAAAAACTTGAATTGACTTTTTACTGATATGTTTGATATGTTCAGTCCATGATAGGTTATTATCTACCAAAACACCAAGTAGACTATCGTGACAGACCATTTGCAATCTTTTATCCTTCCATGTCAGACATAGTTCATCGCTATCAAGGTTTGTTCTTTTTTTTCCATGTTGAGATAAGTAATATTTTAGTTTTACCAGTATTAACCACCATGCCATTGCATGTGCACCAGTTTTCTAGTTTGTTTAGGCCATTCTGTAAAGAAATTTTGAGCTTTTGTTTTGTGTTTTGGATGTCTGACAATGTTGTGTCATCTGCCTAGAGATCTGTAGATGATACTGAGTCCTTTAGTACAAGTGGTAGGTCATTAATAAATAAAATAAACAGCATTGAACCCAGAATTGAGCCTTGTGGTACTCCACATATAATTGTTTCAGGTTCAGACAGAATATTATTAATATAAACATGTTGTGTTCTCTCACTTAAGTATGAAGTAAACCATCTAACTGTGCTTTCATCACATTGGTAGATTTTCAGTTTCTTCAAAAGGATTTCATGATCTACCATGTCAAAAGCTTTCCTGAAATCTACAAATACAGAACCTATTATTCTACCTTGATCAAGTGCTTGAAGCCATTTATCAGTTAAGGAGATCAAGGCAGTCTCGCATGAGTGTTTCTGTCTAAAGCCTGATTGATTAGGGTATAACAGAAAGTGTTTGGTTAAATATGATATGAATGAATCATGGACATGCTTTTCAATCAATTTTGACAAGTTTGGTAGTATTGAGATTGGCCGGTAGTTATCAGCATCATCCTTAGGACCGGTTTTGTGAATAGGAGTTACTTTTGCAGTTTTCCATATTTTGGGAACAGATGAGGATGCAATACTTAAATTGATTATGAATGTTATGCTATCTATAATAGCAGAGGCAGAAGATTTAATGAGTCATGGACCAATCTGATCAAGTCCTGATAAATAAACTGCTTGTCAATTTTACTAAATATGTTGGTTTCAATTTCTTTCTGTTAAATAATTTAAGACATAGTCATAACACCATACTTACAAAATATAATAGAAGTCTGATGCATATTTTTAAATAGTTATTTTAACAAACATTAAATACATTGCACAAACAGCAGTAAACCAATTTTACCCAATTTTATGTCTTTCATCGCTTGTTTCCTTTCCATGTGATGTGGAAATCCTTTTGCTCTTCGTAAGTTGGACTGCCAGCATGATGGATGTTGGCACAGCACTCCACAAACTGTCTCATCTTCCACAATGTCAAAGTCTGCTTTGCTAAATGGACTTTGGAAGCTTTTCAACATGACGAAATGATTCCTGAAAACAAAATGATAGACTATTACAAGAATACAAAAGCAAACCATCAAACAAGGAACAACAACATCTGAGTCTCTAAAAAAATAATATATACTCATAATTCATGACCTAGCCTCTAAAAAAATAATATATACTCATAATTCATAACCTAAGTCTCTATTCCATTTAGACACACTGATTTAATGTCCCAAGTCCCTATTCCATTTAGATACACTGAATTAATGTCCCAAGTCACTATTCCATTTGGACACATTGAATTAATATCCCAAGTCATTATTCCATTTGGATATATGAATTCATGTTCCAAGCCACTTTTCCATTTGGATACATTGAATTCATGTTCCAAGCCACTTTTCCATTTGCATATACTGAATTAATGTCCCAAGTCACTATTCCATTTGGATACATTGAAACCATGTTCCAAGTCACTTTTCTATTTGGACATACTGAATTCATGTACCAAGTAACTTTTCCATTTGGTCAAATTAAATTAACATCCCAGAGTCACTATTCCATTTGGACACACTAAATTCATATTACAAGTCAATATTCCGTTTGGACACATTGAATTCTCATCCAAAGTTGCTATTCCATTTGGACACACTGAATTAATGTCCCAAGTCCCTATTCCATCTGGATATATTGAATGCATGTCCCAAGTCACTATTCCATTTGGACACATTTAATTCATGTCCAAAGTCACTATTCCATTTGGAAATATTGAATTCATATCCGAAGTAACTATTCAACCACTCCGGTGGCCTAGTGGTTACTGCATCTGTTTCAGATGCAGAAGGTCACAGGTTCAAGCCCCAGCTGAGTCATACCTAAACTTTAAAAAATGGTACTAATGGCTGCCTGACTTGGCGCTCAACATTAACAGGTTAGTGTTAGGACTGGTTGGCCTGGTGTCAGGATAATGTGACTGGGTGGGACATCACTATAAACTGTCATACTGCAGACATTGTAGGAATATGACTGAAAAATTTTTAAAGCTAGGTTAAAAATATAAATCACAAACACACACAAACACACACACATGTCACTAATCCATTTGGTCACACTGAATTCATGTCCCAAGTCACTATTCCATTTAGAAACATTGAATTCATGTTCAAATTCACTATTCCATTTAGAAACATTGAATTCATGTTCAAATTCACTATTCCATTTGGCTACATATTTAAAGTATTTTTTTTTGTCTATATTACTGTTCACATTCTTATATAGTAGTTTAAATAGACATACTGAATGTTTCAAATTTAAAAATGGGAAAACAATGTGATTGACAACAGTTTACAAAGAGAAATAATTGTATATTTTGTCCATTCATTCCATTATGGGGGCACTTCAGCATTATCACCAAAGTTTGGCTAAAATTCACCTAATGGCTTTCCTGAAGACAAATATAGTAAAATGTAAACACATGACAGGTGTCTGCTGCTGGATGGCATATATCAGATGCCAAAAATATCATGTTAATAGACAATATATGACAGACAGCTGATGCTCACTTAGAACCTAAGCTATTAAAAACTTATTTCAAGAAAAGATTTATTGTGTACATTTAATTCCTTCTTTAATTTATATTAGGATATTAGGTCCTCACTATTTTAACATTGAGATTTTGTTCTTTTGAGAAGAAACCTGGCTGCTTTTAATTTGCTTTTTAAGCAACCTCATACTTTGAAACCTCTTTTAAGATTCGAAATACAATATAATTAAAACAAACCTCTCTTAAATAAGCTCAATAAATGTTTGATGTCCAATGTTGACCTGACCATATAGTCTATGCCTATATTTATCAATATCTCTGCATCTGCATCTATTACCCACTGTAGAAGGGTCTTTAAAGTATCAACATATTATCTTATGTTCAACATCCTTTCTAACTCAAACCACTTTGAAAAGGTATTTGGAGCAGACTTTATTTTTTAAACTATCTGCATGCTTTTAATTTGACTGGGTATTTCTGAACACAGCAAAACGAACTTACAATACTATACTGAGCCTGGATCAAAACCATTGTCTATAAAAATGCATAAAACTGCTTAGTAACCAGGATTGGTCCAAAATCAGTTGTATTTTTTAATAGTTAAAAATTAATTTCATTTGAAACTTGCATGGAATTATATTGCTCGAAAGCATTATAATGAGACAATGATGATTTCACATCTGCGCAATATGCTGACAGCTTTTGACTTAATGTTTATATCACAAGTTTTGTACAATCTGAATAAATTAAACAGTGTATGAGCTTTCAGCCAAATTATTTACCTACAATATGTTTTTACTCAATTTATTTGCGAATAACAGGAATTTAGTTAATGTATGTGCGAAAAAAAAAGCTGCTTACTGAGTTATGTTTGTATACAAATAACATGAACAGTTACCAATACCCCGATTACATTGTGTCATCTTCCCACCTCTTAGCCATCTGAACCAAATAATTTGTATATATTCTCTATGCAACATAAAATAAATTTGTAAACAATTATCAAATGTAAACATGCCTTCAAACATTAGAATTTAGTGTTTGGATGGTATTTTTTGGTAAATTTTTTACTAGTCCGCCATATTGAAACAACTTCTAGGCAACTTATAGTCACGCATATAATATACAGATAGAATACTAATGAAGAATCAACCTTCTATTTTAAGTAAACAATTAAAATATCTAATTATGATATAAAAATGTGATGTATTTTAAATTCATATATTTAAATTCCCTATTCTGAAGTCAGTGCGGAGATTGCGGAAGTGACATTTTACTCCACATAAAAACAAAATGGATGTTAATGCTGTTGGTGGAAAGTTGAAAAGATTTGCTGGAGGTGCTGCTACAGTATTCAATCGTGCTGTGCAGGTAAGATTGCAATATGATCTTATGGTTCGAAGCTGCAGCTAAATTTTGAGTTTAAATTACAAAAACTCTTGCAGTGAGTAAATGGCACGCCCACTTTTCACTCGTCGATGAATCACTTTCACATTGCCTGTAATGTGCTCCATTTAAATGGCAAATTTGTGTCAGATACGTGTCTGTCATACCCGTTTCACATTTTGCCACACTCCTGTAGATGTCGCATAAGCATCTAAACTAATAAAGCCTATTTAGGTGTTCTTAATTTGTGCGTCGGTTTTTTGTATTATTATTTCTATTGTACTTGCCAAAGGCAAAATTACAGGTTCCACTATGTAACGCGCCACACCTGATATTTATGTTTTTCGGTACGACGTCTTTCTGCCTAAGTAACATCGTTGTGTAGCATGTTACCAATTCAATTGACAGGAGAACGAGAGGTAAAATTTCCAGGAACATCTTACGCACGTGTCAGCCCATATAAACACATTTCTACAACTTTTAAGTCTAATTGATATAATTACTTTGCTTCATGTTCATGTTCAGTTGGCATACATATCATGTGAATGGAATGCGATGGAAGCAGGATATGCCAAAATTTGATAAAGCTGAAGTATGTTTCTTCAGTAGAAGGAATAAGAATATACTAATATTGAAGAAAGTGTTTGGATAGTTTCATTCAAGATTTGTTGTTGTAGGGTTTAAGACCATTTTCAGCATAAGATAGGCTATAGAATGCAGCCAGTATTAATGTTGGAGGAAGAACCTGTAAAAACCCCAGAAAGAACCACCGACCCATGAGAAGATACTGGCAAGCTTTCTCACATACCCACATTTGTCAAAACATTAATATTTTTTTTCTTCTATTTTTATTAACATCCCACTAATCGCACAAAACATATTTTAGAAAAGATGGCTTCTGTGTAACTGACATAAAAGTACACTTGTCTGTAGACTAGTGGTGATTTTCCTGAGTGTTGTTCTGTTTATAGCAACTGCCCTATTTCCAAGAAGACCTCTGTTTCTGTTTATAGCAGCTGTCTAGCTTAGGACAGAACAGATTGGTTTTCTAATTTTTAATCTTTCTTCAAATATTCTTTGTTAAAAATACTGTGAGGTACAGAACCATTCTGTAGGAATTTGGCGGTAAAGTCGTCCCATTTATTCTAGTCTATGTGTATGTTACAGTAAAAATGTTTCTTATATGATTTCACAGATGGATTAGATGAAAAAGAAATGGACAAAACGACTCAGATATGAATAAATGAATAACATAATACGGTGCCATTCTAGGGTAGCATCATGACCATTGCAGGCTGTGGAAAGAATGTTAATACTGGTCTTAGTGTAAAACAAAGACCCCTTAAATTAGCTTGTTTTACTTGCTCCAATACTAAGGTAACTTCTCTTTCTTACAGCAGAACTAAATTGTGGAAACAAATTGTATAATTGCAGGGGCGATACCAGGCTCTTAACCCATTTTATCCAGAATACGCCTACAGGTGTAATACCCCATTCAATCCAGGATATGCCTCTGGTCATAGACTCCCATTTTGTATCCAGAATGCACCTTTAGTCATAGTTTCACTAGGTGTGTATGTAGGGTCTCTAGAAACATGTGTTATACATCACAAATACTTGTGTACTTCTTCACCCACAACAGGAAATGATTAAATTATACATGCACAGAAAAATTTGAAAGGAACATTGAAAAAGAAAGAGCTGATTTGAAAATTGATTGACAAAATGATGGCATGTATAAATACCACCCTAGTTAATCACTAACCAATACCACTCTAGTCAATCAATAACTAATACCACCCTAGTCAATCACTAACCAATACCACCCTAGTCAATCACAAACCAATACCACCCTAGTCAATCACTAACCAATACCACCCTAGTCAATCACTAACCAATACCACCCTAGTCAATCACTAACCAATATCGACATAGTAAATCACTAGCCAATACCACCATAGTCAATCACTAATCAATACCACCCTAATTAATCACTAACCAATACCACCTAATCAATCACAAACCAATACCACCCTAGTCAATCACCTAGTCAATCTAGCCCCTATGACATAATAGAATCAAAACCTGTCAACATATGAGTCCAGGTGATTTTCTAGCACAGTGACTAGAGAAAAACATGCATGGTCCAATTAAAATGTGCAAAATGGAAAATGTAATTTGTCATCACATGTAAGATCTGTAGCCTTCATTATATTAGAGAAACTGAAAAGGATCAGCCTTCATAGATCTAAATTGGATGACAAAAAAGCTGTGGCCACACTTTCAGTGATATAACATAGTACATCAATAGCTGGATGGCAACTTCAAAGGTTTTGACCAGTGGCAGGGTGGGAAAATATACTGATTTTACAGAGATTGAATTCAAAGGCAAATAGACCCAGATATGTACTTGTGGCCATTTATAAGAGTACATCAAATAAACAACTTTAGCTTTCACAATTGTGTTCATTTCTGAGTTTAGCAGAATAAGAAGTGCAAATGACCTCAGAATCAAGACTTGATTAGACTTGGACAAAATGCCATTCAAAAATTTGGATAGTATTTTGTAGTTAAATGGCAAACCGATGAAGATTATACTGAGATTTAAAAGAGAGCTAACATTGCTGGAACTGAAAGTTGAAATGGGACAGTAGCCAAGTGTAAGGAGAGGTGGAACATTAGCCAAGTATAAGGAGAGATGGGACAGTAGCCAAGTGTAAGGAGAGATGGGACAGTAGCCAAGTGTAAGGAGAAATGTGACAGTAGCCAAGTGTAAGGAGAAATGGGACAGTAGCCAAGTGTAAGGAGAAATGTGACAGTAGCCAAGTGTAAGGAGAAATGGGACAGTAGCCAAGTGTAAGGAGAAATGGGACAGTAGCCAAGTGTAAGGAGAAATGGGACAGTAGCCAAGTGTAAGGAGAAATGGGACAGTAGCCAAGTGTA